TGTGTTTGCGGTTGTGGAGGAGGGGAGATTGCATATTGATATTATTTGCTGTTGTTCATTTGATACATATATAATATATATGTATTTATATAGATTTGATTTGTTAATATATTAAACTAGTTTTCCACTGATGCACGTACATACTTGACTTGGTATTCGTTTAATTTACTTTGCTAGTTTCGTATTTTCTTAATTTTCATTTATAAAATTATTATTCTTTATTTGATTTTTAGTATGCTTCGTCGTCTAAGTCATTGTTAGTTAATCTTTGAATTGCAATAAATAAATTATAATGCAATGGGGGTTGGTATACAAATTTGCTAATTAGCTTTGCAGATATAGAAACAAATAGAAATGGATTACGAAATTGCATAAACATATGTGCAGTGTATACAAATTAATAAGACATACATAAATATATAAATAATTTATACGAAAGTTTGAGAAATACCAAGGGTTACAGTTTTCAAAATACTTGAATGCTTTCGAGCACATTTTCATAAAATAAATATTTGTATTTTGTTCGTCAGAGGATTTCGATTCATTGTCAAGCTCTCATTAAAAATTAATTAACAATTAGCAGAAAGAATTACAAAATATAGAGCACATAATATCAATTATTTTGTTGTGTATTTTATATATATATATATATTGCACTTGAATGCGTACGAGAATTTAAAACTTGCTTTCGACTTAATTGCTACCACGACACAGACAAATGCGTACAATTTTGAAATGAAACGAATACTGGACTTTTTGGACTTAATGGGTTTACCGAAAGATACACTAAATACATATACATATAAACCTACAATGAGTGTGTGTAAGTGTGTGGGGGCGTGAGTTACTGTTGTTTCCGTTTTGTTTTTGTATACAAACTACCAAATACAAAGATTACAAAAAAATGCAATGAGTCGTCTGAAAATTGGTTTCCTTTTGTTTCCCTAATTGTTAATGGAATTTTTCAGCAACAGGGGCAGCCCAGTTTTGGTTTTTGATTTGGAAACGAGTATGGTGGCAGTTTTGGTGCCAGCAGCAGCAGCGCCACTGGAGGCAGCTGCATCAGTGACAGCAGAGCTTGTTGCAGTCTGCAGCTGTCGCTGATGCAGCTCCTGCAATAGCGCTGAGTGTTTATCCAACGCCTTCAGCTGTGCCGTGTTCTGTGTCTCGTAGAGCGACGATTGCAGCTGTGTGTGTATGGATGTGACATTGGAGAGCGTGCTCTCGGCCTCAGCCGTTAGAAAATTGCTTAAATAACGTTTGCTAGTTGTTGTTGTTGTTGTCGATGTTGTCGTTGTTGTTGTAGTGGTTGCCATTGTAGTCTGTTCCTGCGCTGAAACCTATATAAAAAACCAATTGAATTATACGTGTGTTGACAATTAAAAGTTGAACTCGCAACCTTTCTGTGTGCACCCAACTCGGCGTCTCAAGTGCACTTGGCGGGATGTATAACATTCTCCATATCCTTTTGCACCGCATATAGCTCCGACAGACTCTTGGCGAACAGCACATTCAGTTCACTCAACTTGGCCAGCTGCAAATGTTTACATTAGTTAATGTACTTGGTTGATTTGAGTATATAAATAAATTACTGTTTGATCATTGCACTTTTCGCGTAAATTCATGTTGGCCGTTTTAAGCTCTATTTCATGCTGCAGCAGTTCCGCCTGCAGCGTCTCAGTGCGCGCCTTGAGCGCAGCCACCTCGCGACGCAATTCATCCTCTGTGGCGCTGCCAGCTGCGGAGCCGGCACCACCAACGCCCCCGCTCACACGCATCAGTTCCATTTCGCGCTTGAGGCGTATGTTCTCCTCCTTGTAAGTGTGCAGCTGGCGCTTCCATTCGTCCACATTAGCCGTCGATTCCTGTGGGAGTAGGCGTTAGCTTTAAGCAGTAACAAATTGGAAATTAAACGCACCTGCAAAGCGCTGGTCAGGCGTATGTTATTGTTCTTCAAGGTGGCCAACTCAATTTCCCACTTCTTCGCATTGGCGCAGCTGTCAACACATAAGTGGTAAAATTATATTAAAAGGAAGAAACATCATAATATCAGCCCACCTTTGCGCCAGTGCCATTTTCAGACGTTCGTTTTCATATTTGAGCTGTTGCTCAGCCGTGGCGCCCGCACCAGGTCCAGTATGCATGCCCACAATGCTGCCACCAGAAGAGATTGTAATGCCACCGCCACCACCGCCGCCGCCACCGCCGCCACCACCACCGCCGCCGCCAGCGGTAACTGTGGCAGCGCCCATGCCCAGCGTTGGTTGCGGCGAAGGCGTGGCCGAGCCAATATCCTGCTTGCCATCGCTAGTGTTTAACAGCTTATGCGAGGGACTATCGGGATTGGCATTCTGTGTATTGGTATTACTTAAATTCGGCGGTTCCACGGTGTGTGGATCGATGTTGGTGTTATCATTTTGAATGGCGCCCACAGCACGTCCTGAAATTGGCGATGTATTCGCCGAGGTGGTGGGCGTAACCGCATTGGAGCCATTCGCAGATTTCATGGCATTTTTGGTGGCCTCCTTGACCTCCTGGAATTTTTCCACAAACTGGAAATAGAAAAGGTATTTAATGAAAAGATTAAAACTCCATATAGAGAAACACACAAACACACCTTTGTCAGCTCCGCCTCGGAGGAGAAACCAAGTCCATAAACCGTATTGGCGCGCACATCGCTCCATTGTCCAAACTTTTGTGATGTCTGTGTGAACGTCATGCTGGGCGTTATTGTTGAATTGATGACCGCCTTGGTACCTTCCACGCTGATGATCCGATATAGATTTCTTGAGATATCATAGAAGAAGCTCACATTAACCGCCTTCATGCTGGCCGTGATCCATGTCCGTTTCGTTTTCGGATCAATGTGAAACACGTGCGCCTGGCAAGTGAAAATCGGTTGTTCGCTGTTTGTGCGAGATAAACACAGGGTAAAGGAGGAGTACCCGGCAGCAGCACCCACAGGTGATTAATTAAAAATTCCATTAAAATTCTTGCACGTCGGCTTAATATTTAATTTGTAAACTCGCTTGCTAAGGAACAGCAGGAGGGAGGAGGGGGTTGGTTGTACAATTTATACATATGTGACCAAGTTGCTAATGCTACAGGCTGAACTTTATAGGGCTACGCAAGCTCCTAATTCAGATGGCAATGTAAGCAAGCTATTAGATTACAGTGCACGCTCGCTAAGATGTTCAAGTTTTAATTAGCCAAAATTAAGTTTATATAATTCGCGAGTGAATAATATTTAATTTCACTTGACGTTCGTCAACTCATATCAAGTTTTTAATTTTTTTGAGGCACAATTATTTGATTATTAACTTTTTTGCAATATACAATATTAAACAAAAAATTGAAATTTTAAATATTAACAAAAAATAAATAATAATGAAAATAATTAATAATTATTTCAGTTATTTTAAAAAAATTTTATTTAATTTAAATTAAAGTAATTAATAATTATTTCAGTTATTTTAAAAAAATTTTATTAAATTTAAATTAAAGAAGAAAAATGTTTTTATATATATTTCATTAAAATTATGTTTTAAATTTTTCAAAAATTATATATATATTAATTTAAAATATTTGTAATGACTGAACATCAAATTACTAATCAAAAATTATTTTGTTTAAATGAAAATAATATCTCAAAAATGCTCAAAAACAAAACGGTGCAATACGAGCATAGTTCACTGTACTTTTCAAATTCTCAATCGACAGCTCAACATTTCATTTTACTGTAGATAGATAACATAATTTGTTAATTTGTCTGTTTTAGATAACGTGCTGATTGTTTAGTTAGTATGGGTTAAATATGTGTAGCTCAAGTATAACAAAAGCGGCTGTCATGGCAACAACAAATATGTTGGGGGTTTAAGAGCTTCGGTGAAAATAGATTGTCATGCGTTGTTGTTGTGGTTGTTGTTTCTGTGTTTGTTGTTGTTGTTGTTGTAGTTCTTATTGAAATTGTCGGCACCGTGTCATTGGCATTGTTGTTCTTCGTGGTGTTTGTGGTAGCGTTGCGGGGTGGTTCCGCTAGGGGGAGCGGGGGGGGGGGTAGGGTGGGTTGTAGGGGCTGCCTTGGCGACTAAATTGCATTATGCGCTTAAGTGTTTTGTAGCCTCGTTTTGATTTTGCTCAAGTTTACTGAACACACACACACACAAACGCATGCACACCTACACCCACGCAAACACACACACACACGCATACACTCGCATAATTGGTATCGACGGGCGGCGTTTGTCAGCCTACACCTACAACTTACGAAGAGCATCAATTCACATGGTATATGGCACAAATTTACACCTTCGACGACGCTCGCTACACCTCAGCCTAGAAGTACAATAACAACAACAACAACAACAGGAGTAGCAGCAGCAACAACAAGAAGAAGAAGAGGAAGCATCAGCAGCAAGGAAGACGTCGGCGTCGATTTTTCACACAATTTGTAGCATTTGCAATCCCATTAGAATAATTTGCGTACTTACCCCATTGCGTTTGTTTGCTGCAGCGCTCAATTGTTTTGTATGGCAACACGTTAACACTATGCTAATTGTTTATTTTTATTAATTATAACACTAAAAAATAAAACACAAACGAGGCGCTTGCTCTGTGTAAAAACTGTAGGCAATGCGGCTAAAACTGTGAGTGATGTTGCTAAAAAAAAAAGATGCGAGTAATGTTACAATAACAGCGCAATGTTGCCAATATCGTGGTATCTTACGATATGCGCATGTAATACTCGATAGGTGATGTGATATTGAAATTGCATCGAAGCGGCAACGATGTATGAGCACGACTCATTTTATTAATTTAAGTTATAGGATTTCATTTAATTTCTTAATATAATTAATTAAACTAATTTCTTTAGCTTTGAATATCTAAAAAGCCGTGGGCCCCAGCGAATACCGATAAGTATAATCGTAGGTAGCCAGCTACCTAGCCAGATAGTGTAAAATATACAAAATATTGAAATTAGGTGGCAGCACTGGATTTTTACCTAAGTGGCAACCAAAAAAGAAACGAGCTGCGTTTTTTCGCACATAAAAATCAATCGGAAATAAATAAAACTTGCTACAATTGCAACAATTAAATAGCTTTATATGCAAAAGCTAAACAGCAACAAAAGTTGTTGTTGTTGCTGCTGCGCTGTCGCCGGGCGATCGATCCTTGTTGGCTACGGGGTACGTGTTTGCGCCAGGGAGGAAGGGAGTTTTTTGCTCTTTTTGCATAAAAGCCGTCCTCTTATGCTCAAGAAAAGGCGTTTTACCAATCATAAAACGCACCGAGTGCCGCAGCTGTTAACCTGCGACTCTTAAATTTAATGTGTTTGCCATAATTAGTGTTAAATGCATGTGAGAAACATTCATTTAAATTACAAAAATTATTATAAAAAAGAAAAAGCTGTGCATATGTGTGCGTACTGGCATGCCTGTATGTATATACATGCATGCGGTGTGTATGTGTGCAAGTGTGCTTGTGTATATACATATGTGTGTGTGTACGTATATGTGTTGGTGTAAAAAACTTGTTATCAATGCGGCGCCTATGATAAAAGCCTTATTAGACATGTTCAGTGTGTTGGTCCAATTGGAATGTATTAACCCATTACGCGGGCGTGCCTCAAGAGGGGAAAAACTCGGCATCAACAAGAAAAATAAATAACTCCGGAGCGTGGGCAATGCGTGGGCCTATAACCGTTTTAGCTGCGTGACCAGCGACTCTTAAGGCAAATTTTATATATATATTAACGGTTATTGTTATTTTCAATTAAATTATAAACTTTTAGAACTGTTTCAATAATATTGTTTATAATACAGTTGAGCAATACAAAAATCGGTAATACCGGTTCATGCCGGTAAAAATAATTGCGATCGGAATTATGAAAAACTCCTTTTTTCGGTAAAACTATGCGGCTTATATATGATATACCTATGGTATTTATGTGCATATCACTCCGGAAAATATGTCCTTCAAATTTAAATATATATAAATTTAGTAACATATTTTGGTGTGTACATTCCAATCTTTAAAATTAGAATACAATGCGAAACAAATGTGTGTTGTTCAAGAATTAATCCTTAATCCTTGTATCAGAAAACGTTTTATTAAATGTAACTAACTACAAAACAAGAATATGCTGTGGATATACGAAAATTGATGTATTGCAAAACAAATTTAGTTAGTTGACGAACTTAAAAGTGAGTTGATATGGCAACTAGACCTTATAACCGTAATAGAGTGCTGAAGGTTTTTTAAACAAAGTTATTCGAAATCTGATTAAAATTGGTTTGCTTACAGTCTTGCATGCGTGCCCGTGCTCTGGTGGCCAACTAAATAATGTGGAACATGATGTGCGACGTAATGCCCACAATATCGGAAGACAGCATATCGCAGCGCTCGTCGCAGTTCAGCGGCGAGGATGCCAACTTTGAGCAGCTCATGGTCTCCATGCTCGATGAGCGGGACAAGCTTATGGACAGCCTGCGCGAGGCACAGGAGAGGCTGGGCGAAACGGAGGGCAAGCTGCGCGATGTCGAGAAGGAGCGCGACAGCCTCCAGCGTCAGATCAATGCCAATCTGCCGCAGGTTAGTTCAAATAAACACCAACATGTTAGAAAGCTGCATTTAATGTTTGATCTTGGCAGGAGTTCGCCACGCTCACCAAGGAGCTGACGCAAGCGCGCGAAACCTTGCTGGAGCGGGACGAGGAAATTGGTGAGCTCAAGGCGGAACGCAACAACACGCGGGTAAGCTACAGCTAAGCTTCAACAATATCCGATAAATCTAAATAAGTTGTATATTATTATTACAGCTTCTGCTGGAGCATTTGGAGTGCTTGGTGTCGCGCCATGAGCGTTCCCTGCGCATGACCGTGGTTAAGCGGCAGGCGGCCGCCCAAAGCGGCGTCTCCAGCGAGGTGGAGGTGCTCAAAGCGCTCAAATCCCTGTTCGAACATCACAAAGCGCTCGACGAGAAGGTGCGCGAGCGTCTGCGTTTGTCCATTGAGAAGAACAATGTGCTGGAGGAAGAGCTGAACACAACCAAAGAGGAGCTAAACCAATATAAAACGGGCGCTTTGCAAGCCGGCGGCATCAACTCGGCCGGCAATGCGAGCGGGGAAAATGGCATCAAAGAGAAGGTGTGTGTGTGTGCGTGTGTGTGTGTGCGTGTGTGTGTGTGCGTGTGTGTGTGTGTGTGCGCGCGCGTGTGTCTGTTTACCCAATCAAGCGTGTATTTTACATTATCTACCTTTTGTTGTTGCAGCTGGCGAGCGGCGGCGGCGGCGGTGGAGTCAATGGTGATGCCAGCGAAATAAATGAATATGCGGCCAAAACACACGAGCTACAAACGATCATTGAGAAGCAGGTGAGGGCATCGCAGGGTTATCACAACATGATTGCCAACAAGTCGCACTACCTGTATAGACAATACGTTTAAAGCAATTTATGACTCACGTCGCGATATTCCCATGCGAAATTTCATTGTTGACAAAACAAAACAACTATTTGCTAAGATAAGGTTTTTCGTTGTTCGAATAACTAATTAGTTGAGATTTTTAAACGCTCTAAATTTGGCCAACATGAAGTATTTGAATCATTACATAAACTTTGTTTTAATTAGGCATAGAAACTAAGGCGACAAACCGATCATATTTGTTTACTATTACAACTTTTAAGCGCAGCTCTGTCCAAAAGCTTAAATAACTTGCATTTTATCATATTTGGGAGTTCCCAATTTTCGGTAGAGATCAACGGTAGCTGCAGCTTTAAATAATGTTTTACTTAAAGCGGGCTATGTTAATTGAATTTATCATTGTTCTTTATTTTACTAAAATTTGATGACAAAGCAAGTCTGACTAATTGAGCCTCAAGGCGGAGTAATTGCCCCGAAGGCAAACAAGTTTCAGTGCTCTTTTTATATATATTTACGAATTTTGTTGAAAGCAAAACTTGATTCAAATTAAGTCAAAAATAATCAAATAAAATTTAAGACAGACTTTTAATAGATATTTTTTAGAATAAAAATACTTAAATGTCATTTACTATTTGCACAAATTGACAATTTAAAACCCTTTTCTACTTTTAGACCTCGGAATTGTCTCAATGGCAGCGTCGCGTCTCCGATCTGAACAGCAAGATCAATGAGCTGGAGGAGAATATGTCGCGAGTGCAAAAGGAGCACTGCAAGGCGCAGGATCAGTGCTCGAAGCTGCAGCGCGATCTGCGCGAAAATGTGGCACAAAAGGAAGATCAGGTGCGTAACCATAATATAAATATATAAAAGTATAGATAAATATAAAAATCATTTATAGGAGGAGCGTATAACTACGCTGGAAAAGCGCTATTTGAATGCTCAACGCGAGTCCACATCGCTGCATGATCTGAACGAGAAACTGGAGCAGGAGCTGCGGCACAAGGAGGCACAACTAAAGGTGCGTCTATGCATAAGCAAAATATGTACATGGAATTGGTTATGGTTTCAAGGCATGGGCGAATTTCATCAAATTAATCAAAACACTGCACTGCCAAACAAAATACCCTTTATATATATGTATTCATATGAAAGTTGCTAATGGTTTATTTCCGCTATTAATTATTGTGTATCTTAGCAAGTTTGGAAATTTATGGAAAGCGTTCTAAAGTCAGGAACTAATTAGGCAAACATAACATATCATGTGTCATTCGAAAGTGTTAATGAGTTTTGCTGTGATTTGCTTGTATTATTATTATTAGTATTTTTCAATTAAAAGTTATAGTTATGTATAACTCATTTAAAAATCATTTTATAATATATTTTTAAATAATTAGGGAAAAAATACAAGCCTTAGCATGTTGAACAGTACATTCAGAACAGCCTCTGTTAATTAATCATGTTAATAACTTCCAACTATTTAAGATAACAGCCAAATGTTATTAACAGCATAGCACAATTATTTTAATTGTTACTTTATCAAAAATAGAAGTGTAGTGTCTGTTATTTAAAGACTTTTTAACTTTTTGATACTACATTTAGTTTACAAGAAAAAGCTTGATATAGTCAGTGGACTTGTTTTTCGCCCATGCCTGTTTAAAAGCTAAAACTGTGACTAATAATGAATAATATATACCCTATCCATTTGCATTTCAAAAACCAAACTAATTGAACTACCCTCACCAAACCGAAACAAAAAATCAAAAAAAAACCATAAACACTGACAGCTGCACGAAGAGAAAATCAGCGCAATTGAAGAGAAACTCGAACTCTCTGAGCAAAAGCTGGCGCAACATGCCAAACTGCAGCCGGACATGGAGGAGCAGCTAAAGGCGCGCATGGAGGCATTGACAAAGGTAGGAAATAAGGTATGCACTCGAACTAATATGCGCGCCGACAGGTTCCATAAGTATAAACTCAAATTAATTTCTACAACTAAATTATTGATTCTTATTTGTGTAACGTTCTTTCAAACTCGTATATTTTTTTTCCAAAATCCAACTAATACTACTAACAATAACAACAACAACTCTACTCATGATTCTATATATAAACAACTCAATCTCTTAACTGTCCTGCACAAGAACTCAGCGCACCGACAACTGAACAAAAGAAACCTTCACAGAAACTCTCCTCACTCTTAGCTTTCATTACTAACATTTAAAACTAATTATCTTGTCTATCTATTATTATGACCAAATTTCACTCGATTGAATGTGCTTTATTAAACGATTTTGGCTGAACGCATTTGCAGGCTCAAGAACGTCATGGCTCGGCGGAGGATCGCATACGGGCCTTGGAAACGAATTTGGATGAGAAGAGCGCCGAGGTGGTAAGACTGAATCAGCGTCTCAAGATGAATGAAGAGCACAATTTGCGTTTGTCCTCGACGGTGGACAAACTGCTGTCCGAGTCGAATGAACGGCTGGAGGTGCATCTAAAGGAGCGTATGCGTGCGCTGGATGAGAAAAATGCACTGACCCAGGAGCTGGAGAAGGCGCGCAAGGTGGCCGAGGAGCTGCATCACGAGAAGAGCGAAATTATGAAGGAGCTATCCAAGACACGGCTCGAAATCGAGAACTTCAAGCGTCAGCTGCTCCAGCAAGAGATCGCCTACAATATACAGCAGACGGAGGCGCTCACCCGTAGCCTATCGCCCAGCAGCGTCGTGGATGGGGGCAACGCTTTTACCCGCAGCGCATCCCATGCCAGCTTCGAGACGCATTCGCTGCGACGCCAGAGCAAATCCCGTCTCTCCGAGGAGAACGCGCTGGCCCGCTCCATGGCCGAGCAGGAGTGGGAGAAGCTGCAAATGCAACAGGTGGCACACGCCCAGCAGCAGGCGTACGACTTGGTCGCCAGTGTGACAGATTGCGATGATAGCGATGCGCTCTATGCGGCTGCCACGGCGGATATGATGTCGCCATCGGGCCATACGGATGCACAAACGCTGGCCATGATGCTGCAGGAGCAGCTGGATGCCATCAATAATGAGATTCGACTCATACAGGAAGAGAAACAATCGACGGAGGCACGCGCCGAGGAGCTGGAATCGCGTGTCGGCAGTCTGGAGCATGTGAATCTATTGTCACGCGGCCGTTCCATGGACAGACAAAGTCCGCCCATGAGCGGGCGTAGTACGCCCAACAGTCCGCAGCGCGATTTCATGCAAAAATATCATACGGTAAGGATTCGATAATAGCTACGGAAATTTCTTATATATTCTTTAAGATCCAAATACTGGTTATAAAGAAATGACCTCCAGGAGTTCCCAAAAATGTAATCAATACGTATTTTGGGTGTTTCATAAATTCACGATCAGATGTGGTAAATAGGTGAAAACCACGTTAAGTGAAAATTTGTTTCTATTCGATTCAATTAACAATTTTAATGATCAAAGAACGTTATTTAAAGATTATCATTAAAAGTGCTAATTGGATGTGGTAAAAGGTCCCTAAAACTGAATTACTCTGAATCGTTTTTCGGCTGTTTCGTATTTCATAGCCATTCGTAAAAAATATGTGAAATTTTTTCTATCCGATTCAATTAACACTAATTCTAAGATCATTTGAAAAGTATTGAATTGATTTTAGTAAATCCACCCCGTTTTGTGGAAATAGGCGGTTTCAAAGTGTTATTTTTCAATTAACGTTCAATTGGATTTAAACTCAGGTTCAATGCATATCATAAAAATAAGAATTTATGAATATTGATCTATTTTGGAAATTTTAGTCAACGGGCGCAAAAGCCGGTTAGATTCTTAAGAAAAATCCTACTCGATTATACCAGTTAGCCCTTAATTAAAAGGGCACTTTTTAAGGGCACGTAGCTGGCTTCTAATTGTGATCTAACTATTTGATTGTTGCAGCTTAACTTGCCCGTGCTGTCCAGTGATGCTTCGCGCGAGGAGCTGCACGGCGGCATGTCCACCACCGGCGATTCAAGTTCCGGCGGCGCTGCTTCACCATTGACAGCACGCTCGATGCGTTTGGAGCGCGTCGCCCAGGCGCTGGCCCATAGCCAGGAGGAGCTGCGTCGTCGCACAATGGCGCCCGCTGCGTCGCCACACGTGAACGCTCACATGACGTTAAACACACACAGCTATGGCCTGTCGCCGCTTAGCTCCCGGTATGGCAGCCAGGAGTCGCTGCGTCACTACAACACGATGGGTTCCATGTCCATGCTGCAGACGCCAACGTCGGGCGTGTCAAGGGAAGCGGCCGCCGCCGCTGCCGTTCAGAAGAAGAAGGGCATCAAATCGTCGCTGGGACGGTTCTTTAGCAAAAAGGATAAGGTCAAGGGCGTTAAGGATACACTGCCGGACGGCTCGCCCAGCATGATGTCCATTGGCAATCTATCGATTGGCCTAAGCGAAGTGGATTCCAACTATGATGTCATGAGCATGACAGGCGGCATGATGCCGCGCATTGCCAGTGCACCGGGCTCCAAGATCAGCAGCGTTGACTACGGCAGGCAAAAGAAGTGAGTGTGGATCCCATTCAAATTGAATACCCTTTACTAACTATAAATATTCACTGCAGGGATCACGATTATCGCAACGATCTGCTGGGCGAGGCGATGAAAGCGGGCACGCCATTCGCCCTGTGGAACGGACCCACCATTGTCGCCTGGCTGGAACTGTGGGTGGGAATGCCCGCCTGGTATGTGGCCGCCTGTCGTGCTAATGTCAAATCCGGCGCTATTATGAGCGCACTAAGCGATACGGAAATACAGCGGGAAATAGGTAACATTCAAAGTGTATATTTGACCATTGCTTAATATCCTGTTCTCCTTGATAGGCATTAGTAATCCGCTACATAGGCTCAAACTACGTTTGGCCATACAGGAAATGGTTTCACTAACTTCACCCTCAGCGCCGCAAACATCCCGTACGACGTTAGCGTTTGGTAGGCCTATACAAAAAATGTAATTTGACGAACACAAAATAAAATGCGTCCTTTATCTATTTACAGGGGATATGAATCACGAGTGGATCGGCAATTACTGGCTACCTGGGCTGGGATTGCCGCAATATCGCACAACCTTTATGGAGTGTCTAGTCGATGCGCGCATGTTGGATCATTTGACCAAGAAGGATTTGCGCGGCCAATTGAAAATGGTTGACAGCTTTCATCGGACCAGCCTGCAGTATGGCATCTCAATGCTCAAACGCTTAAACTATGATCGCACAGAGCTGGAGCATAGGCGCAAGATGAGCGAGAATGGGCTCTGCGATGTGCTCGTGTGGAGCAATGAGCGTGTCATACGCTGGGTGGGCAGCATAGGACTGAAGGTGGGTGTTGGGAGCTAAGTTTCATCTATGGTTTTATTGATAAATAATATCCGGGACTAAGCGGACTAACCAGGACATAAGAAGATTTTGCTTCTGCTAGGTTTGTCGTTTTTTCGTTGCCTCTAATTCTCAATGAGATCAAGCTACGAAGGAGCGACAAAGCCTTTGCAAGCCCAGAGTCGATAGCAAAGTTTTCTGATAATAGTTTAAATTTACTAACTATTGGTTATTAAAACCTCAAGCTAACGAGCTTAAAGTTTAGACTACACTTAAATAGATCTCTAAAAACATTTGTTATATGATTTAAAAATGTAACTATGCTTTTCCCCAGGAATATGCCAATAACTTGCTCGAATCGGGTGTCCATGGTGGTCTGATGGCGCTGGATGAGGGCTTCGATGCCAATGCAATGGGCCTGGCACTGCAAATACCCACGCAAAATGCGCAGGTGAGCGCTTAAATTTGTATTTAACACAAATAATTTTTAATAATCAAATCAAATGAATTTGTAGGCACGCCAAATACTCGACACGGAGTTCAGAAACTTGCTGCAAATTGCCACAGATCGCAGGCCGGATAGCGAACAGCGCAGCGCATCCTGATGCAGTTATAGTCCGCCCACAACATCGGTGGATGAGTAAAACAATCTAAACTAACTTTCAAAAGAGAAAAGCCAGCACAGCGTCAATATTTCCTAAACGCTGCGAAAGACAACTAATAATGGAGCATATATATATTTATATATGAGGAATGAGGAAATGGAAACAAACAGACAAACAACTAAGCCACAAAATTCTAACAAGAAAGACGCAACGCAAGAGACTCCCAGGCTCAGAATATACACTGACTGGGCCCAATTCCCATCCCCCTCCCTCCTCCCCAGCATGATGCACGTCTAATCTATTTATATAAATACACACATGCCTACACACACACACACACACAGAAATAGTCATATAATCCATTACAAGACAATGTATACAAGACATAGCACATACTCTATATAGGAAATACGTACGTATACATACAAAGCGTGTATGTAAACAATTTGCACGGGCGCCCTGCTGCTAATGTTGTAGGCATTGTACAAGTTTTAGATGCTAATCATTTTTGTAATTGTTTTATTTTAATTAATATTTTTTTATAATTTTTTTTAACAATGTGACATATAATTTAGATTGTAATATAAATTGGGCTTGCAATAGACTAACAGTATTTTGTTTTAGCTGCAGAATATATATATATACAGAGATGCGTGCTTCGAACCAAATTAGTAACCAAACTTGATTGTTATATAATATGTTATTGACATTATGTACAGTTTATTATTTTGTTTAACGCTATTCAGTTTTTTAAATATATATTTACATATTTAAATATATATTTATATATACAAGCTAACATAGTACGCTTCACATATGACATTATGGCATGTTCTTTAGTTTGCCTTTTTGTTGGTAGAGTAATGCAAGGCGCTCCGATTCGAGTTTAATTCAACTGAAGAACAACATGCACAACAATCAGGCATATATAGTAAACAGCTGCATATATATATAATTTATATATACGCCTAGTTTAATATACACCCATATAAAGCTCACTTATATATACATATATATATATAAATAAATGTATAATTAACATTATCAAGCATACGTGTAACTAACAAGAAAGTATTATAGAACAAAAGTGAAAACGTGACGAGGAGAATAATGAATGGAGTCGAGAGAAGTTGAAGCAAGTCACAAGCGCCCATTTATCAACTATTTACATATGGAAAATCGAAATAGCAAAAAGAAAAAGCTTTAAAGGCAAACAACCCTACAAGTCTACATAGTACTTAGCCTTTGCATTAATAATAAAAACAAAACGAAAAGAAAAGAAAAGAAAGTAAGAAAACCTTAGGCATGCTACAAAATTTATATTTAAATAATTTGCAATAATTGTAATTGGCAAAACTCGAAGCTCGAATTGCAATCCCAATGTCTTGGCATAAATTTATAAATATGATATATAAATATTCACAAAGCATATCCATTGTTTTTCAAAACAAAACTCCCATTAATTCTTACGTTGTTAATTTAGTTTATACACATGTTTGCAAAGACAAAGGCAAGCAAATAAATGAAATTATATTATTTATATACCTTGTTCAATCATACTAACAATTTCCACACACACACATACACTATAAATATATTTGTAAAGCTCTTCTGTACTTATATATCCATATATACATACATCAAATATGTTAAAAGCACACAAACTGCCTGTTTTGCTAACATATTATTAGTTTTTATGCAAAAATGGGGTAATATAATTAAGTTTTTATTAATTTGAACAAAAACCAAAACTGCAACTAACGCTTTGTCTCTAAGTATATATATAATTTAACACACACATATATATATATACATATAAAAACAACTAAGAACTATAACTTCATTTTCAACTGTATTAGCAAAATTAAAAAACATGTTCGTAAGAAACTGCTAAGACAATACCCTAAACGTCAACAGGATACATTTGACTATATGAAATGAATTCTTCAAAGCAAGATAACTAAAATTTAAAAATATACAAGTGTAGCATTATCTGCTATTTAAGTAACAATCCAGGATAAGTGATAAGTTTCTTAATTTCTTCAAATTGTTTTTGGTTTTTTTTCATACAACTCTTTAAAACAGAAAAATGTCATTTCGTTTTTTAGTCACTAAAATGATTTCTGTTGATGCTTAGCGTATTTAATAATGTACGTAACTGTAGCATTAAAAACCAATATATAAAACAAAACTAATCTAAATTTATAAAATACTAACTGAAAAATTAAGTTAATTTGAACAAAAAAATATTGGTTTAATTGTTAACTTTTGTTGAAAATACATATTTAAAAAAAAAAAGGAGAAATACACTTTACTATAGTAAAACTAAATACAAAATCTATTATTATACAAGGAGAAAAAAACGAAACAAAACAAAACACATGCATATGTACATATATTTATATAATATTGTGAAAAGAAAAACTAACAATTTAGTAAAGGCGAAAATTCCGTTCAGGAGTTTTTTATATGTACCATATATATAAATTAAAATTTATTACAAAAAATATGCAAGTTTGTTTTGAAATATTTAGACATCAGTGCGGTAAAATATTTGACAATTTGATTTTATTGTTCAAAACTGGCGCCAAACACATGCTAATGTTAAGCAACAGAGAAATGTTAAAAAACAGATGTGATTGTTTCTGTTACGGCGATGTTAACATGTGCTAGCCGGTTAGCAGCTGATTAATTCACAGCCTACATTCGACTTTAATATTGTTACTTTCGTAATTTTAAACGACATTTTCTTTGGACGTCAATATTAAGTGAAAATAAAAATTTATATGTGGCAAACTAAACGAACAACAAACAGGAACTTGGTTCGTTCATTCGGTTTGCTGAGTTGTGCAATCGAACTTGTTCCGAAACGAATCGATAAGCAACTCGATTGTGAACAATAAACACAAAGAATATTTTACTCGATACAAAATTTGTTTACGCTCTAGTGTCCAATAAGTCAACCGAAAAAGTTGATAATTAAACATTCCGCAGCCATGGACGCCACAACAAGCCTAGCCGACAAGCTGGCATCGAAAACGGCCAGCAGCAATTCGCTGGACAGCAGCTCCAAGTCAAGTTCGCTTGGCTCCAAGCACGGCGCCGAGAATGGCGTACTTAGGGATACGCCCTTTGCTTATTTGGACGGCGAGGAGGATCAGGACCAAAAGAACGATGTCACCTATGTCTGCCCGTATCGCGGACCCGTCTTCGGGGCCCTAACCATCACCAATTATCGCTTGTACTTTCGTTCGCTACCGCTGCGCGACCAGGAGCCACCCGTTGTCGTCGACGTGCCGCTGGGCGTGATAGCGCGAGTGGAGAAAATTGGCGGCGCCACGTCACGCGGCGAGAATAGCTACGGCATTGAGATATTCTGCAAGGATATGCGCAACCTGCGCTTCGCCCACAAGCAGCAGAATCACTCGCGTCGCACCGTCTTCGAGAAGCTGCAGGCGAACGCATTTCCGCTCTCCTACAGCGGCAAACTGTTCGCCTTCGCCCATGCCGCGGCGGCACAACCGCCCGCCGCCAATGCGGCCGTGAGCGCCGGCTGGGATGGCTGGGCCGTGTATGAGCCGCTGGCGGAGCTGCGACGCCTGGGCGTGCCCAATGATATGTGGCGTGCCACAAAGCTGAACGAATCCTATGGCATTTGCGATAGCTATCCGGCTGTTTGGGCCGTGCCGAAGGCGGCCTCTGATGATTTTCTGCGTCGCGTTGCGCAGTTCCGTTCGCGTTGCCGTTTGCCAGTTTTGTCCTGGATGAATCCTCGGACACAGGCAACAATCACGCGCTGCTCCCAGCCGCTGGTGGGCGTTAGCGGCAAACGCAATGCCGATGATGAGACCTATCTTAGCTATATTATGGAGGCGAATGCACAGTCGGACAAGCTGACCATTATGGATGCCCGGCCCAGCGCGAATGCCATTGCGAACAAGGCAAAGGGTGGCGGCTACGAGTCCGAGGATGCCTACAAAAATGTGGAAATCAATTTCCTAGACATACACAACATACATGTTATGCGCGAGAGCCTGCGCAAGGTGAAGGAAGCCTGCTATCCCACCACCGACGACTCCAAGTGGCAGACGGCCATCGATAGCACATTGTGGCTAAAGCATATACGCTGCGTTCTGGCCGGGGCTGTACGCATTGTGGACAAGGTGGAGACGATGAGCACTTCGGTTGTGGTGCACTGCTCCGATGGCTGGGATCGCACAGCGCAGTTGACGGCGTTATCCATGCTGCTGCTCGATCCGCACTATCGCACCGTGCGCGGCTTTGAGGTGCTCATCGAAAAGGAATGGCTGTCCTTTGGCCACAAATTTCAGCAACGCATTGGCCATGGCGATAACAAGCATTCGGATGCGGATCGCTCGCCAGTTTTTCTGCAGTTCATCGACAGCGTCTGGCAAGTGAGTCAACAGTTTGTCAATGCCTTCGAATTCAATGAGCACTTTCTCATCACAATTGTGGATCATCTGTATTCGTGTCGGTTTGGCACCTTCCTGTGCAACACCGAGGCGGAGCGTGTAGCAGAGGGTAAGCTCTACTATATACATATATTTTTCTATGTGCAATAACTAATTTCTACACTTTCCCGCCCAGATCTTAAGCACAAAACAATTTCGCTGTGGACGCACATAAACTCCTCGCTGGATCAGTATCTGAATCCGCTGTTCCCCTCGTTCACGCACGGCCCCGAGCCCGTGTTGCGGCCCATTGCCAGCGTGCGGGCCGTGCGTCTCTGGAAGGGTCTCTACTGCCGCTGGAATCCGGGCTTGTGCGCGCCCCAGCACGGCTGCCAGCGTACACGAGAGCTGCTCTCCAAGCAGGATCTGCTGTTCAAGCATGTCAATGAGCTGCGCCTGAAGCTAAACAATCGCAGCAACAACATGCAGACGACCACACGATTGGCCTCGCCCATGCACTAAATAGTATTTTGTTTATGTTTACTTTCCTGCTCTAACTAGTTCCCATTAACTGTATTAACTACATAACTTATACATGCATTTCCATGTACAACACTATTAACGAATTGTTTAATCCAAATATTATGTGCATAAGCAGCAATACTAATAAATATATACATACTATAAACTAAATATAATTATATTCATGAAATGTTGTTTTCTGTTTTGATAGCCGTTACGTGCATTTAATTGTTGGCAAAGCGGATTTGAATTAAAACAACTGCAGATAATAAAAATGTGTTTAGCTTGTATGGAAACAAATATAAACATTTTAACAATTAACAAAACCTTATGGTGCAAAACATAATCAAGTACTTTCTTCATAATTATTTAGCTGGTGACTGTAACCCCAAAGCTGTTACCTATGGGCATATTCCATCAGCTCTTAATTGAAAGTTGCATTAGAATTTCATTTTAAACTTTCTAGCTAATTTATGAGACAATTGCGGAATCATAGAATCAGTTAAAAGCCAGCTTTATTGGCCATCACATAACATATCCCTATTCTTTCTTTTTATCCAAGCAAAACTTATACACAGCTTTTATTTTTTAACACTAATCTAAAGTAATGCCACAACAATTTAAAATTGATAAGGTCAGGGCATCTAAGGAAAATGTCGAAAGTTTAAAGAGCAATCATAAATTACAATGAAATAAACATTTATGCGCAATCAAGTCTTTATTTTCCGCAATCTCAAGGTTCTGACCAACTTAGGATACACGGGCAAATAATCATTCAAAGTAGCTGTTAATCACAGGGCGCACTATATACTATTTTCATGCACACACACACATACCCACACACAGATGCACGTCAATTCATTGTCAATGCCAGTAGGCGTTGCCAACTGTTGCGCGCAATTCCAATTTCATTCATAAAAATTTAGCGCACTTTGGCGCCTGCGCATTCGCGATAAGCATGTGCCAGCCAGCAATTTAATGCCATTTTGCGCCAAAATTACAAAACACAATCACAGTTGCTTCAGTACGTTTTCGCACGTTCATTAATGCAGTCGCATTTGGGGAACGGCGCCACTTCGAAGTGATTGGCAACGCAACGCTCAGTCGTAGCAGTGTGTTAAAGTGCTGTTGCTGTTGCAATATCAGCTCTGTTAACCGTAAAATGTTAACATATTAATACAAATTAAAAAAAACAAGTGCAAATAATGCAGTTAAAGCCTAGTTTCTTGGTATTGTCATTTTTATTGTGTCTTGGCCGTGTTTGTGGGGTTAAAGAAATACTGTTGCTCATTTCCTGTCCGCAACAAGCCGAAATTAACTGTCGAGCTCTGCGCGAAAGCCTGCTGCAGCAACAACAACAACAACTAAATGAGGCAATTCCAACGGATTATGATTACGCCATTAAGGTGCACATATTGCAAGAACTATTCAATTACTGGACCCTGCTGGACGCGCTGCCCTATTTGCAAGGCAAGACACGTTTGCTAAACGCGAATACCGATTGGATTATTTGGTGCCAGCACAACACGCACGTCTCCTCGCTGCGTGGCCTGCTCGAGCAGCTGCATCGCCAGGATGCGCAAGAGGTGAATTTCGTTTGCCGTCGCGAAAACACATCTTTTCGTATAATTTAGAAAAATTGTTACAGCTTGTTTGTTGAACAACAAATGTGTGTTGGAAATACTCCCATAAAAATACAAACATATCAAAAGCTTTACAACAGATCGTAGAATCAATTTCAATACAAAGCAGTTATTATAGAAAATATAATGCGTATAAGAGACGAATTTTTCCAAGCATTGTAACAATTTTCTAATGAAGAGTTTTATGAATTTTTACAATCAGAAGTAAATGTTTCCTCAATTAATGTAAAAATGCTATAAGAAACATTATAGAAACATTTTTTTTTATTCAAATAAATACTTTAAAAAGTATTCCGAAAATGAATGTATATTGACAAGTTATACCTATAGAATAGCGATTGTTTCTAAAGAGCTAGAGATTATATGACATAATAATATATTTATGCCCCAGGGTCTACAGCCTCATAAGAGATAACACTCTTAATTAAATGAAAAGTTAAAAAATGTTTAATTATCCACATCTTAACTTGATGTTGGTAATCAAATTAACTGTAATCCGAAACACTCTTTTTTTTAAATGCAAATATAGAAAAGCGAAAAGAGCTATATGACATAATAAAACACATAAAACAGTTAACCGAAGATTCAACTGTTGAAAGAGAGCGAGAATATATGGCATAAGAATATATTTATGACCCAGGGTCTACAGCCTCATAAGAGATAACATTCTCAATTAGATGCAAAGCTTTTTAGAATGTTTAATTATCGGCATTTTAACTTGATGCTGGTTATCAAATTTATCAGCATCAACTTCTCAACTTGGCAACTGTTTTCTTTTTTTGTTCAACGTGTTTTTAAAGTTGGCCTACTACGGACATGCCTTGTACGATGCTGAGGCCACCATTGTGCATCATTTTGCGAACTACAAGGATCCAACATGGTTTCCATATCCCATGCTAAGTGCTGGCGTTGTTTTCACCGGTGCTTTGCTGCGCAGGTGAGTCGGAACGGACAGAATGTTTGAGCATCGCATCGCATGGCATCGTGTGTGGCCATAACTCATCATGGAACATGCATTTTCAGCCTGGTCGAACTTGTTGCTGTTAATGCCCCGAATGCCACAAGGCACAGCGAATTTGCGATAGATGCCGCCCATGAGCTGGCCCGATTCATTTTCGATAATTTAGCACCTGCCGTGCCAAATGCTGATGATAATGATGATGATGGCAAAAGTAGCAGCAGCAGCAGCAGCAGTAAGAACATCGACATCGACATCGACATCAACATCAGCAAAAGGGACGTAGACTTTGTCGACATGTTGCAGCGCAAAATAATTTTGAAAAGTGCTGACTACATTTGTCCCTGGGCGAGAGTGTCGCCAGCCTGGTCGTTGGCATCCTCAGAGACGACAGCGAAGAAGCCAGCGCCAGCGCCAGAGCCTCTGCCCTGCTTCTTGCATGCAAAGCCGGAAGTGGCCGCTGGGAATGCTGCACATTGTGTGAGTTGAATAATGGGGCGTATTCACATCAAGTGGCGGTGGGGTCATTTAAGATTGAAGGAACACGCTGATGGCTGATGGTCAGCTGAATTTGATGCGATTCAAGTAAAGTCTATTCGCTGTTGCCTGAATAGTTCAGTACCCCTTCCCTACATAGCCTACATACTATACACACTCTTGATCACAATAATAAGTACATAACCCCATTTTTGCATGCAAATATTTAAAGTTATATTAAATATAGATACATAGTCTCTTTTTCATTATGTTGTCAAAAAATACAGAAAAAATAGTTAAGTAATATGCAATACATACTTTGAATAACAAGGCGTAGCTTATATTCTTTCAAGCTTCATTATACTCTCCCTCTCTCGCTCTCGTCATATTTCCTTTCCAGTCTCTACCACTACCGAGCTCTACGTTTTATTGCGCGCCATTTTGCTTTCGTTTAGCGACACTCATTTTACACACACATATTTGCATAAACATAAACGTTGATTTACGGGCACAAAACGGTTGAAACAATGACGAAGTATTAACTTTGTAGAATGTTTACCGAAACACACAACACTTGAACTAATCGCGGCTAGTACCAAAGACTGTGACAAAAAAAAAACGATTTGACATGCACGCGCGAATGGTGCAACCGATCTAAAGAGCAGACGCGCACAGACTAAATTATCTCAAAAGGCATTCGCACTATTACACTAACACTAATACAACATCTGCGCTCAGTCCTCTCACACTGCTCGCGCTCTAGGCTGGATACGCTACCAATATAACGGGATCGGCGTCAAAGAACACAGTAACTATATGCATGAATAAGCTCTCTCATTCATACCATCAAAAACGCCATATCTTACGTAGACAGTAGATAATTACTTATATTCCACGCTCAGTCTCCGCAAAGTGTTCACTCTCCAAATGAACGCTCCCTGGCCTCTTCTATTATTGTACCCACATTAAAGGATTCATTTCGTCCATCTCTTAATGATAGAGATTTGAAAATAAGTTCATTTCGCAAGAAACGGTAAAAATCTGTAAAATACGACTTTAATGACTTTTCTCATTAACCATAAAAAATATTGGATAAAAATGTAAATAATTTAATGGACTTTTAGTTTTTTTTTTTCACTTTACTGCGAGGAACATTTACAAAATCACTTGTTTATTATATACTCTTGCGTATTTGAAGAGAAATAAAAACAATTTGCTTGGAATATCGAATTGAATGAAAATTCGAAATATGTATGTGCCATTTATTTAATATTTAAATTAATGTATATTTATTGTTTTTGCAATTTTTTGATATTTTATATTTTTACGACCATTTCGCATTAAAATCTCAATACAATTTTACCAAAATTTTTCGTTGAGCCACTGGAAAGTGTGGAGCTACATATTTTAATTTATCGTTTGTTTGTCTAAAAATGCCAAAATTCCTAATAAATTTTGTAAATTTAGATTTAAAAGAGAGAGCATTTATTTTCACAAATAATAAAATATTACGCATACGCGCCGTGGCGCCTGCATGAAACTAAAAACCCGACGTATGTGTAATTAACTTTAAATGCTTAACTGCATGTTTTAAAGTATATTTTATATGTTTGATTTTTAGACACAGATTGAATGAAATACTTCGTAAATTAACTATGCCATGGCATGGCTGCAGAGTAGGTAACATGTTTAGTTTAATGTTTTTGCGATTTAAAGGACGACAAACATTTGTCCAGACATGCTTGAACGGGGCAACGGGGCATTCAGGCAATTAGCATTTGAAACCTATAACCATAAATTCTCTGACAACGGTCAAACACAAACTGAAACTGAAACTGAAGCCGAAACGATTCTCTCACCCACAACAGGTGCACACAACTGGCGCACACATCTATTTTGCAATCAAGACCTGTGCAAAATTCCATAAGGAGCGTATACCAATCATCGAACGCACCTGGGCGCCCGATGCCATGCGGCGCAAATACTACAGCGATGTGGCAGGTAAAGCGACACAACACGACAACGATGAGCGCAATTAAAGCAAATGACTGGCTGCTGCTGCTGCCTTCACTCTGAATTTGGGCGGGGCGGGGCGGGG